TTTAAAGGCAACTATGATGATCATTATAATGATCTTGATCATAATTAGCATATTAATCATAATAAATGATGGTTGCCATTGCAACTATGATGATCATTATGATGATTTTGATCATAACTAGCATATTAATAATAATAAATGATGGTTGCTATAGCAACTATGATGATCATTATGATGATCTTGATCATAGTTAGCATATTAATCATAATAAATGATAGTTGTTATGGCAACTATGATGATAATTATGATGATTTTGCTCATAATTAGCATATTAATCATAATAAATGATGGTTACCATGGCAACTATTATGATCAATATGATGATCTTGATCATAATTAGCATATTAATCATAATAAATGATAGTTACCATAGCAACCATGATGATCAATATGATGATTTTGACCATAATTAGCATATTAATCTTGATAAATGATGGTTGCTATGGCAACTATGAAGATCATTATGATGATTTTGATCATAATTAGCATATTAATCATAATAAATGATAGTTGCTAGGGCAACTATGATGCTCATTATGTTGATTTTGATCAAAATTAGCATATTATTCATAATAAATGATGGTTGCAATGGCAACCATGATGATCATTATGATGATTTTGATCATAATTGGCATATTAATCATAATAAATGATGGTTTTAATGGCAACTATGATGATCATTATAATGATCTTGATCATAATTAGCATATTATTCATAATAAATGATGGTTACTATGGCAACTATGATGATAATTATGATGATTTTGACCATAATTAGCATATTAAATCTTGATAAATGATGGTTGCCATCGCAACTATGAAGATCTTTATGATGATCTTGATCATAATTAGCATATTTGTCATAATAAATGAGAGTTGCTAGGGCAACCATGATGCTCATTATGATGATTTTGATCATAATTAGCATATTAATCATAATAAGTTATGGCTGCTATGGAAACTATGATGATCATTATGATGAATTGATCATAATTAGCATATTAAATTTAACAAATGATAGTTACCATGGCAACCATGATGATCATTATGATGATTTTGACCATAATTAGCATATTAATCTTGATAAATGATGGTTGTCATGGCAACAATGAAGATCATTATGATGATTTTGATCATAATTAGCATATTACTCATAATAAATGATGGTTGTAATAGCAACTATGATGATCATTATGATGATCTTGATCATAATTAGCATATTATTCATAATAAATGATAGTTACCATGGCAAACATGAAGATCATTATGGTGATCTTGATCATAATTAGCATATTATTCATAATAAATGATGGTTGCCATAGCAACCATGATGATCATTATGATGATTTTGATCATAATTAGCATATTAATCATAATAATTGATGGTTGGAATAACAACCATGATGATCATTATGATGATTTTGACCATAATTAGCATATTATTCATAATAAATTATGGTTGCCATGGCAACTATGATGCTCATTATGATAAATTTGATAATAATTAGCAAACTAATCACAATAAATGATGGTTGCTATGGCGACTATGATGATCATTATGATGATTTTGACCATAGTTAGCATATTACTCATAATAAATGATGGTTGTAATAGCAACTATGATGATCATTATGAAGACCTTTATCATAATTAGCATATTAATCATAATAAATTATGGTTGCAATAACAACCATGATGATCATTATGATGATTTTGATCATAATTAGCATATTAATCATAATAAATGATGGTTTTAATGGCAACTATGATGATCATTATGATGATCTTGATCATAAATAGCATAATAATCTTGATAAATGATGGTTGCCACAGCAACTATGAAGATCATTATGATGATCTTGATCTTGATTAGCATATTAATGATAATAAAATGATATTTGCTATGGCAACCTTGATGCTCATTATGATGATTTTTGATCATAATTAGCATATTAATCAAAATAATTAAAGGTTGCCATGGCAACTATGATGCTCATTATGATGATTTTTATCATAGTTAGCATATTAATAATAATAAATGATGCTTACTATGGCAACTATGATGATCATTATGATGATTTTCATCATAATTAGCATAATAATCATAAAAAATGATGGTTTTAATGGCAACCATGATGATCATTATGATGATTTTGACCATAATTAGCATATTAATCATAATAAATGATGGTTGCTATGGCAACTATGATGATCATTATGTTGATCTTGATTATAATTAGCATAATAATCATAATAAATGATGGTTGCCATGATGCTCATTACGATGATTTTGATTTTAATTAGCATATTTTTCATAATAAATAATGGTTACCATGGCAACTATGATGATCATTATGATGATCTTGATCATATTTAGCATATTAATCATAATAAATGATGGTTGCTATGTCAACCATTATGATCATTTTAATGATTTTGATCTTAATTAGCATATTAATCATAATAAATGATAGTTGCTATGGCAATTATGATAATTATGATGATCTTGATCATAAATAGCGTAATAATCATAAAAAATGATTATTTCTATATCAACTATGACAATTATGATGATCATGATCATAATTAGCGTATTAATCATAATAAATGATGGTTTTTATGGCAACCATTATGCTTATTAGTATGATTTTTATCATAATTAGCATATTAATCATAAAAGATTATGCTTACCATGGCAACTATGATGATCATTATGATGATTTTGATCATAATTAAAATATATTAATCATAATAAATGATGGTTGCAATAGCAACCATAATGATGATTATGATGATTTTGATCATAATTAGCATATTAATAATAATAAATGATGGTTGCTATTGCAACTATGACATTTATGATGATCATGATCATAATTAGCGTATAATTCATAATGAATAATGGTTTTCATGGCAACCATGATGCTCATTATGAATATTTTATTATAATTAGCATATTATTCATAATAAATTATGCTTACCATGGCAACTATGATGATCATTATGATGATCTTATTCATATTTAGCATTTAATCATAATAAATGATGGTTGCAATGGCACCCATGATGCTCATTATGATGATTTTTACCATAATTAGCATATTAATCATAATAAATTATGCTTACTATGCAATTATGATGATATATAATAATGATCTTGATCATAATTAGCATATTAATCATAATAAATGATGGTTGCTATGGCAACTATGACTTATTATGATGATTTTGGTCATATTTAGCATATTAATCATAATAAATAATGGTTGCCATGGCAACTATGATGATCATTATGATGATCTTGATCATAATCAGCATATTAATCTTGATAAATGATGGTTGCCACAGCAACTATGAAGATCAATATGATGATCTTGATCATAATTAGCATATTAATGATAATAAAATGATATTTGCTATGGCATTCTTGATGCTCATTATGATGATTTTGATCATAATTAGCATATTAATCATAATAATTGATGGTTGCTATGGCAACTATGATGATCATTATGATGATCTTGATCATAATTAGCATATTAATCATAATAAATGATAGTTGCTATGGCAACCATGATGCTCATTATGAATATTTTTATCATAATTAGCATATTAATCATAATAATTGATGGTTGCTATGGCAAAAATGATGTTCATTATGATGATTTTGACCATAATTAGCATATTAATCATGATAAATGATGGTTGCCATGGCAACTATGAAGATCATTATGATGATCTTGATCATAATTAGCATATTAATCATAATAAATGGTGGTTGTAATGCCAAACATGATGCTCATTATGATGATTTTGACCATAATTAGCATATTAATCATAAAAAAATGATGGTTGCAATGGCAACTATGATGATCATTATGATGATTTTGATCACCATTAGCATATTAATCATAATAAATGATGGTTGCTATGGCAACCATGATGATCATTATGATAATTTTGACCATAATTAGCATATTAATCATAATAAATGATGGTTGCCATGGCAACTATGATGATCATTATGATGATCTTGATCATAATCAGCATATTAATCATAATAAATGATGGTTGCCATGGCAACCATGATGATCATTATAATGATTTTGATCATAATTAGCATATTAATCATAATAAATGATAGTTGCTATGGCAACTATGATAATTATGATGATCTTGATCATAATTAGCATATTAATCATAATAAATGATGGTTTCCATGGCAACTATGATGATCATTATGATGATCTTTATCATAATTAGCATATTAAATAATAAATGATGCTTACTATGGCAACTATGATGATCATCATGATGATCTTGATCATAATTAGCATATTAATCATATAAAATGATGGTTTGCTATGGCAACCATGATGCTCATTATGATAATTTTGATCATAATTAGCATATTATTCATAATATATGATGGTTGCTATGGAAACCATGATGATCATTTTGATGATTTTGACCATAATTTGCATATTAATCATAATAAATGATGGTTGCCATGGCAACTATGATGATCATTATGATGATCTTGATCTTAATTAGCATATTAATCATTATAAATGATGGTTGCCATGGCAACCATGATGATCATTATAATGATTTTGATCATAATTAGCATATTAATCATAATAAATGATGGTTGCTATAGCAACTATGATAGTTATGATGATCTTGATCATAATTAGCGTATTAATCATAATAAATGATGGTTTTCATGGCAACCATTATGCTCATTATGATGATTTTTATCATAATTAGCATATTAGTCATAATAGATTATGCTTACCATAGCAACTATGATGATCATTATGATGATTTTGATCATAATTAGCATATTAATCATAATAAATTAATGTTGCAATGGTAACTATGATGATCATTAGGATTATCGTGATCTTAAAGGAGCAGTGTCACCGCGTGCGCATTTTTTCTGCACATATATGAAACTTGAAATAACAGGCTGTTTTTTCAAGTTTATCAAACGCAAGATGGCGGCTACTCAGGGGGCAAAGCATGGTGGAAAACATGATAATTCCGGCAGGAAAAGAAAGTTTCAGGGTGGAGAAAGTTTTAGTAGCCAAAATAAACGAATTTACTTATCGTTAAGTGTATTTTCGGCTTAGCGAGAAGCGAATAACGATGCCGGTTACAGCAAGTACAGTGACAGCGATTTCGCTGCGCATTTGTTGTCATTGGAGTATCGTAGAAGGTAAAATTTCAACGATTTTTTTTATAACTCATCATCCTATGTATACGTATCCTATATATAGTTTGACGTCGTGATTTTTGCATTTTAAAGAGCTGATTTGAATAATCGCAGAGTGGAAGAGCGACCGCTAATTCCAATCACAATAGATGAGGGTGACCAAACACGTGGCATTATTTCGGGTATTTTAATTTTAATATATCAAAGTCTAAGTATCAAAACACAATTATGGTACTTTTAAAATAAATGCCCAAAATAGTTTAATTTGTAAGATAAATTATACCGATTATTTTAGATTGGGGTACATCTACACCAATGAAAGTCCAAGGTATTGGAACTAACTTGCCATCATGTGATGTGTCGCTAATTGAGAAGGAACAACAAGCAGAGCTTGATGTGCAGCCAGAACAAGAAACGTCAATTGGTCAGGAAGCAAGTACATCTCACCATGAAAGGTACTCAGAATTATATTTGCACCTTTACCATGTTGGTTGTATGGTAAAAAGAATTACTTTATACAATGACCTAATTGACATTTTGTTGTCAAATAAGTAGAAAATTCATTGAATTATTTTAAAAAGTTTGAATGTCTACTTTCTTTCTACTTTAGTAGATTGAATACATCTATGTTTTCTGATGATGAGTTGTCTTCAGAGGATGGTGGTGATGACAGGGATATTAGGTATTATATACTGTTATGTGTGCCTATATTATTTGTGAACTATCATTTATTTATTATACTTTATTCAACAAACACTTTACAATTGGAAAATTCATTAAGTATTTTTCTTTCTCACTTTCAGTTTTCATGACCAAACAATGACAATAATTGTAGAAATGAATGCTGATCATGATGACATCTTGGAAAGGGATGATGATGCAAAGTATGAATATGTCATTTTGTACACAATTGGCGTCTTTGTATATAGTTATAAGTTATAAATCTCCACACATTTTTTGTATATGATATACAAAACCAATGCAAAATGTATTTATTTTATTTTTATTTTCTAAAGTCTTTATTGTAAATACTATGTACATATCCACCAGCCTTTTGCATGATGACAAATATCTGCCATTTGTGGGGTACCATCTTTCATACCAATTTTGACCTATAGTATGACCTTGTAACTGTCTTTATTTTAAGGCTGAATTTTGTTCAAAATAATGGTCTGTTGATTCTAAAATACTGGTTTTATATGGTTATAATTGATTTAAGAAAATTGAAAGTACCCCAAAAATGGCAGATATTTGTCATGATGAGAAAGACTAATTGTAAATAAATTAACGTCTTTTGTGAAATAAATATAACAAACTCATAGCTATAAAATGGTTTAAAGTATGTACATTTAGTGTTCTCTGTATCCCATATAAATTTCAGTCACAGATGGAAAACGCTCCCTTTTTTTCAAAACTGTACAGGAGGCGCAGACACGCCTGTTACCTTTACCAAGACGGCCATAGCGTGCAAGAATGAATTGCCTATATGCTGCTTTTCTGAATGCCCTTGTACTGTTGTCCTCTTGGTCATTTCGAATGTCTGCTCTATTCCTTATACATAGCTCCAGAACATCAACATCCAGGCACAATTTGGCAAAACGTGATGTAAGTGTTATGCATTTCTTTTGCTTGCAACACTTGTTTTCAATTTCCTGGGGCATTGGTACATTTGCCACAAACACACCAATCTGGGTGCAGCAGCATTTGGGGCTCTTCAGGTTGGTCCAAGTCTTGTTGTCCAACATCGCTTGATTGCTCTCTGAAATCACCAAGTCTATCATCTTCTGGGTCTTCATCTAGGTCATCTTCCATTATCAGCAGGGTGTCAATGTAGTCCATGCTACCAATGCCTCTTCTCAAACTTCTGATCGCAAGTTTTCGCACCAGCTCTTCATCCAACGTTCCAATAAAATCCTGTAATAATTAGACAAAAGCTTTAAAGTCAATTCACTATATATTGTCTGACCGGTCAACCCATGATAGTATAACTCTATCATATATATCATAACTTTATCATAACTTTATCAAATCTACCACAGGTTGGCTTGTGAAATTCATCTACATACAATACATGTGTATTTGCCCACCTTCACATCCTTATGTTCTTTTTCCCTCAAAGCATCCTCAGATTGCAGTAGTTGTGAGTTAGCACTGCTCAGTCTAAAGCCTTGTGCTTGGCCACGTGTTCTACTGCGCTTGTCGCGGTTATCGCGCTCTCTCTCTGTGTTTTGTGGCGTATCCTACAGTAAAACCACATTAAGAATTTGAATCTTGTATGAAAGAAAAAAAACTTGGTTATATCGTAGATTTATAGGCAGACATACCCGGTTCTTGCAAGGTTTCTTGCTCGTACCACATTGACACTCTGCCGTGCACTCGACGTTGTTTCCTTTACAAGGACATCCACGACTCCCACTCGCTTTTCTTTTGATGCTGCAAGAACTCTTGCAATCGCAACAACTTGTCCATACGCGTAATTAAATACAGTTAACAGTACACTGATTACAGCTATGTATATTATATGCAAAAATGTAAATAAATGTAAATTTTTACTCACCATGTTGAAGAGAGTATGAGTTCACTGTTCACTCATAACAATGGTGCCGATTATCTCCGATCGCTTTTCCGACAATTTCCGACAAAATTTTTGTTATGCGCAGAAAAGATGCGCACGCGGTGACACTGCTTCTTTAATTAGCATACTAATCATGATAAATGATGGTTGGAATGACAACCATGATGATCATTATGACGATTTTGACTATAATTACCATATTAATTTTAATAAATGATGGTTCCCATGGCAACTATGAAGATCATTATGATGATCTTGATCATAATTAGCATATTAATCATAATTAATGATGGTTGCAATAGCAACCATGATGCTCATTATGATGATTTTGATTATAATTAGCAAATTAATCATATAAATGATGGTTGCCATAGAAACTATGAAAATCAATATGATGATCTTGATCATAATTAGCATATTAATCTTAATAAATGATGGTTGCCATGGCAACCATGATGCTCATTATGATATTTTGGTCATAATTAGCATATTAATCATAATAAATGATGGTTGCCATGGCAACCATGATGATCATTATGATGACCTTGATCATAAATAGCATATTAATCATAATAAACGATGGTTGCCATTCCAACCATAATGATTATTATGATGTTTTTGATCATAATTAGCATATTAATCATAATAAAATATGGTTGCTATAGCAACCATGATGATCATTATGATGATTTTGGTCATAATTAGCATATTAATCATAATAAATTATAGTTGCAATGGCAACCATGATGATCATTATGATGATCTTGATCATAATTAGCATATTATTCATAATAAATGATGGTTGCCATGGCAACCATGATGATCATTATGATGATCTTGATCATAATTAGCATATTAATCATAATAAATGATGGTTGCCATTCCAACCATGATGACTATCATGATATTTTTGATCATAATTAGCATATTAATCATAATAAATTATGGTTGCCATAGCAACCATGATGATCATTATGATGATTTTGGTCATAATTAGCATATTAATCATAATATATTATGGTTGCTATGGCAAAAATGATGATCATTATTATGATCTTGATCATAATTAGCATATTAATCATAATAAATGATGGTTGCCATGGCAACTATGATGCTCATTATGATGAATTTGATCATAATTAGCATATTAAACATAATAAATGATGGTTGCAATGGCAACCAGGATGCTGATTATGATGATTTTGGTCATAATTAGCATATTAATCATAATAAATTATGGTTGCCATGGCAATTATGATGATCATTATGATGATCTTGATCATAAATAGCATATTAATCATAATAAATGATGGTTGCCATTCCAACCATGATGATTATTATGATGATCTTGATCATAAATAGCATATTAATCATAATAAATGATGGTTGCCATTCCAACCATGATGACTATCATGATGTTTTTGATCATAATTAGCATATTAATCATAATAAATTATAATTGCTATAGCAACCATGATGATCATTATGATGATTTTGGTCATAATTAGCATATTAATCATAATAAATTATGGTTGCCATTGCAACCATGATGATCATTATGATGATCTTGATCATAAATAGCATATTATTCATAATAAATGATGGTTGCCATTCCAACCATGATGATTATTATGATGATTTTGATCATAATTAGAATATTCATCATAATAAATTATGGTTGCCATAGCAACCATGATGATCATTATGATGATTTTGATAATAATTAGCATATTAATCATAATAAATGATAGTTGCTATGGCAACCATGATTCTCTTAATGATGATTTCGATCATAATTAGCATATTAATCTTAACAAATGATAGTTACCATGGCAACCATGATGATCATTATGATGATTTTGACCATAATTAGCATATTAAACTTGATAAATGAAGGTTGCCATGGCAACTATGAAGATCGTTATGATGATCTTGATCATAATTAGCAAATTAATCATGATAAATGATGGTTGCCATGGCAAATATGAAGATCATTATGATGATCTTGATCATAGTTAGCATATTAATCATAATAAATGGTGGTTGTAATGGCAAACATGATGCTCATTATGATGATTTTGATCATAATTAGCATATTAATCATAACAAAATGATGGTTGCAATGGCAACTATGATGATCATTATGATGATTTTGATCACCATTAGCATATTAATCATAATAAATGATGGTTGCTATGGCAACCATGATGATCAATATGATAATTTTGACCATAATTAGCATATTAATCATAATAAATGATGGTTGCCATGGCAACCATGATGCTCATTATGATAAATTTGATAATAATTAGCAAACTAATCTCAATAAAAGATGGTTGCTATGGCAACTATGATGATCATTATGATGATTTTGACCATAGTTAGCATATTACTCATAATAAATGATGGTTGTAATAGCGACTATGATGATCATTATGATGACCTTGATCATAATTAGCATATTAATCATAATAAATGATTGTTGCTATGGCAACTTTGATGCTCATTATGTTGATTTTGATCATAATTAGCATATTAATCATAATAAATGATGGTTGCAATGGCAACCATGATGATCATTATGATGATTTTGATCATAATTAGCATATTAATCATAATAAATTATTGTTTTAATGGCAACTATGATGCTCATTATGATGATTTTTATCATAGTTAGCATATTAATAATAATAAATGATTCTTACTATCGCAAATATGATGATCATTATGATGATTTTGATCATAATTAACATATTAATCATAATAAATGATGGTTGCCATGGCAACTATGATGATCATTATGTTGATCTTGATTATAATTAGCATAATAATCATAATAAATGATGGTTTCCATGATGCTCATTACGATGATTTTGATTCTAATTAGCATATTTTTCATAATAAATAATGGTTACCATGGCAACTATGATGATCATTATGATGATCTTGATCATATTTAGCATATTAATCATAATAAATGATGGTTGCCATGTCAACCATTATGATCATTTTAATGATTTTGATCTTAATTAGCATATTAATCATAATAAATGATAGTTGCTATGGCAATTATGATAATTATGATGATCTTGATCATAAATAGCGTATTAATCATAAAAAATGATGATTTCTATGGCAACTAGGACAATTATGATGATCATGATCATAATTAGCGTATTAATCATAATAAATGATCGTTTTTATAGCAACTATTATGCTTATTAGTATGATTTTTATCATAATTAGCATATTAATCATAAAAGATTATGCCTACTATGGCAACTATGATGATCATTATGATGATTTTGATCATAATTAAAATATATTAATCATAATAAATGATGGTTGCAATAGCAACCATAATGATGATTATGATGATTTTGATCATAATTAGCATATTAATAATAATAAATGATGGTTGCTATTGCAACTATGACATTTATGTTGATCATGATCATAATTAGCGTATAATTCATAATGAATAATGGTTTTCATGGCAACCATGATGCTCATTATGAATATTTTTATTATAATTAGCATATTATTCATAATAAATTATGCTTACCATGGCAACTATGATGATCATTATGATGATCTTTATCATATTTAGCATTTAATCATAATAAATGATGGTTACAATGGCAACCATGACGCTCATTATGATAATTTTTATCATAATTAGCATATTAATCCTAATA